ACCGTCCTACCTTCCTCGCCCACACTCTCCCACATGGCCTCCTTGATCGCTATGCCCACACCGTGTACGCCCCTACTGTCCTTGGTGCCAGCACGGGCGCCTCTCCAGATGATCACGTACCCGTCGTGTGCAATTGAACCTTGCCCCTCTCGTCGGGTCTCCTGAAGTCCTATCACATCACAGCCGGTCGCCGAACAAATCTGCATGACCGTCGTCACGTTGTGACCGATGGGGTTCCTACCGCTGTAGGCGAGCGTGCGTACGTTGAACGTGCCGAACGATAGGTCGCCCTCTCGTGCCTTCTTCTTCGCAGCCGCCTTGACGGCCGCTGCGGTCTCGTGTCTCTCTCGGTCCACCTCGCGTTGCGGGTGTGCTTTCTTCCGTATTTTCCGAGCGGCGAATTTCCTCGCATCAATCCATCTCTGCAGAGCTCGGTTCTTGCCTGTGGTGTTTTGACGAGGAGGGTGCAGCACTCCCTCCCCGCGGTGCCCGCGGTTGTCTCCCTTCTCCCGCGAGCGGTGCTTATGACTATATACATCAACGTTGATTTATATATAGTAATACTCCATAGGTTCTGCCAGTGAAAAAAATAAAGAGTTCAGCAGCGTCGCGCGGCGTTATGGTTTTGAAGGCTTGGTTCGCATCGCTCACAGCTCGCAGCTCGCACGCTCAGCAGTCGCACCTCGCAAACACAGCACACAAACCATCAGGAGTCAGGCACTACCTCCCGTCATCGGGGGTGTAGGCGATGTTTGTGCTTGCAACGATCAAGGACACCGTAAAGGTGAAGTCTCAACGTGCAATATGGTCAACTGCTGGCCCACACTGAACACTGCTGGTGTTTTCCGTATTTTCTGTTAGGCAGTACAGTAGTAGAATCAAGATGTGTATCCCGAAGTCTTCGCCGACGTTTACGTTCACCAGTCCCCCGAGCTGGTGCCCGGGGACTACTGTCTGCTGCGTATGATGATATGGGTGCGGAGACATCAGCGAGTCCAAGCTGGCGATGTGTGGACCAAGTTTTGATGTGTGCGGCTACAGCAGTTGGGATCTACACTGCTGTACCTCTCTTCCTTACGCAGACAAATGCAATGTCCACCGCCATTTGCTCAAACGATACTCAACGGGCATTTCCCAACAGAAGTGAGCGGTTGGAACAAGGACTGATCGATCTTCAGTGGAGTATCTTGCTTGGACGTGCTCTATTTAAGTGTTGAGCGCGTGCATGCATGACACTACAAACCGCTTCGGCATGCGGCACAACCTGGTTGGTAACCATATTACATATATATACAAACATGCACATGGCTCGGCGCCATCGAAGAGCCCAAGGGGGCCGACTGCTGTCCCATGCCCCTGATTGCATGTCAGCTTGAACTGCCGAAGCGTCGCTGCCGCTACTAATTGCTGACGTCACCGGTTGCGCTGAGGCGCTGTTCAAGTACGCCGGCGTCGTTTCGTAGGCGTTCGTTGCGTATCGGAGTCGCGGCAGGCATGGCTACAAACTCAAGCCCCCTTTCAACCGCTTATTCCCTCTGTTTCTGTAACTCGAAAGACCTCTTTCAATTGCCCCCAAAATGTTGCAGCCTTTGATGTGTACGGAGGCTAATCGCAGAGGGGCATGGTTTAAAGCGGCCTGCGTCCAGACACATACACGAATTTTTACACCTACAACCTCTGATGTTGTCAGCTACCGTACTTCTACTGTAGTACCAGTACAAAAAATCTCGTGCCGACCAGATGCTACTCAAGGGCAGCTGCAGCAGCAGCAGCAATTGCATCAATTTGAGGCCGACACATTTCGACCCACTCATGGGTGATGCTGCGTGGTCGGGGGGGGGGAAAGGCATTGCGCCGTTTCGCAGTTGGTGGCAGCTACATAGAACAATGCGTACTGACGGCGATGCTTGAAATGTCGAGAACTTGCCGGGACACCTCCCAAAAAGTGCGGCGTCGCGACCACGTACAGAGATAGGATGGACCCGACGAATTGGTCGAAAGAGCGCCCCGATGATCGCTCCGTCTGCTAAGGAAGAAACACCGCCACAAGATTCGTTGTAGACAGGTTTCGCTAGATACTCTGAATTATCATATTTTCTGTTGCTTCTTCGCAGGTGGCCCCGAGCAACTTTAACGGCGACGCCACGTTTCGTGTTGTTTTGTTTTTTGCTTCGCAGGTTGCCCCGAGCAAGTTCAGCGACGACGCCTTGGATGTGCTGACGGCGCAGATAGAGGCCAAGTTCGCGGACAGGGTCATCGCCAACGTCGGCCTCTGCATCTGCTTGCACAGCTACGAGAGCATCGGGGACCCCTACGTCTACCCCTCCGACGGCGCTGCGCACTACAAGGCAAGCGGACCACAGGCCCTGCTTTTTCCAAAGAGGCCTCTGGACCCTCTTGTTCGTCTAGACTCTCTTCTTCTTTCCACCTCACGACCCGCGTCGGAACGGTCTCACAGTGTTCGGAGAAATCGAACGGGTCTTGCTTTTCCGAAGGCCTGAAGACATCGTCTTTGTCTCGGCCTCTTCCTCTGTTAGTAGGTCTCTTGTTCATCTACAGACCTTTTCTTCTTTCCACCTCGCCAACCGCATCTGAATGGTCGCACTTTGTTCGGGGCGCACAAAGACAAAAAATTGACGAAAGTATTTTGCCAAAGACGTGCACTTTTGTTCCAAGAGTGTCAGTTTGTTGTGGCTCGTCATGGATGCTTATTGACAACGACTCCGCGTGGTACACAGGGCAAGGGAGGAGTTTGGCAAAAACCTATGTTGACACGGAGCTTTTCGCCGAAGCACACAAAAACGGCCATGTACAACGGCCGTTTCACCGCACTTATCTATGAAACCCTCCTTATTGCTCTGGTTGCTTCTTCACGACCCGGCTGAAGGTGCGGTTTCGGATGCTGGTGTTCCGGCCCTTCGTGGGCGAGATCCTAACCGGAAAGGTCTCCTTGTGCACCAAGCAGGGCATCAAGGTGCTCCGCGCTCGTGTGTGTCGCCGGGGATGGTATTGATGCTGGTCTATGTTGCTGTTGGTTGTTAGACGTGTTGTCGGGTCTGTCGCTTATCTTGCTGTGTTGTGTGGTGAGCTAAGACCGGGTTCATGTAGTTTTAGAATACCCGTTTTACGAAAAGGAGAGAGAAATGTGCATGACTGAGGTGGGAAATGTGTTAGGAAGTTAGAAGAGAGATGTTTGGAGTATGGAAGGGCAAGGAGACGGCGGTAGCTATACTGGGGCAAAGGAAGTGGCTGAAAAGGCGGGAAGTGATGTCGAAAGGAAAGACACGCTAAGGAAAACGTTTTGGACTCACCTTTGGCGAAGTAGGAAGGAACGATTGACCGTCGGTGATCGGTCCTGTGGGAACGATGCTCCGTCCTCTCGAGGACGTGTGGTCAATGGTCTAACCACTAAGGCACCTCAAAACATGACCCCCCCCCCCCCCCCCCCCCCCCCCCCCCCCCCCCCCCCCCCCCCCCCCCCCCCC